AAAAGCGACAAGTTGCTCAAAAAAATCCGCACAAACCTTGGTGGAGAAGCAGTATGTGACCCAGGAGGGATGAAGCTGAAAGTGCTTGATCAGATCAGATTGTGCTCGGTCGCACTATTTTTTTTTTCCCTACTTTTTTTTTCCTCCTCTCTCTCCCTCTCTTTTTTTTTTTTTTTTCTTTCTTTTTTTTTTTTTTTTTTTTTTTTTTTTTTTTTTTTTTTTTTTTTTTTTTTTTTTTTTTTTTTTTTACAGGGAAGGCATTCTTTCTGAAAGGAGCAGGATGGCGCCAGCCGGCTCAGTGCTTACAGACAGCTGTGGCGAGACGCAACTTAAGGAGGTTCCAGTGTCATAAGCCGGGGGAGGCGGAGCCTGAGCGGGGACAGCTCCGGCCGCCCCCGCGGGAACCCCCCGGCAACAAACTTCTCTTCAAATCCTCTCCACCACACACCCTCACACCCTTCTTCATTTTATTTTTGAAAACTTTCTACTGGTTTTGTTTTGAGGGGGAAATTAAGTTTTCCCGCTGTCCCGGGAACTCTGAGAGTGGCCAGCCCGGAGAGATGGGCATGGCGGGGACGGGGTGCGGGATGCCCGCGGGCTGGGAGCCCCCCGGAGCAGGGGTGTGCGGGCAGGTGCAGGACCGGGGGGTCCCCACCGGGATAAAGCTGCCTCGTGCAGCGGCGCGGCTCGGATAGGATTTGATTATTGCTGTATTTAAGGGTATAAGGGACACGGCAGCGGCCAAGCGCGCACACGCGGTCTGAGGGGGCCGAGGGGGCTCAGGGGTTTTCCCCCCTCCCTCAGGAAGCGCCGGCGGCTCCGGCCGGACCCCCGGGCGCCGCGCCCGGCCCCGCCCCCCCCCGCGGGCTCGACCAATAGGCGGCGAGCAGGAACTGGGGCGCCGGCCTCGGGCGGTGCTGATTGGCTGCGGGCCCGCGCCCCGCCGGCCCCCGGCGGCGCTGATTGGTTGCGGGCCCGCGGGCCGGCGGCCGCGCCGGGCGCTGCGTTGAGCCAGGGCATCCCCTAGCGGCACCCCGGGGTCATCCCGGCGGGACGGGACGGGACAGGGATACGGACAGGGACAGGGACAGGGACACGGGACAGGGACACGGACAGGGACAGGGACAGGGACACGGGACAGGGACAGGGACAGGGACAGGGACACGGACACGGACAGGGACAGGGGGATAGGGACAGGGATACGGAGAGGGACAGGGACAGGGACACGGACAGCGACAGGGACAGCAGGACAGCGGGACAGGGACACAGACAGGGGGACAGCGACAGGGACAGCAGGACAGGGGCAGGGACAGTGACAGGAACAGCGACAGGGACAGGTACAGGGACAGGACAGGGACAGGGACAGGAAGACAGAGACAAGGATAGGGACAGCGGGACAGGGACAGGGACAGGGACAGAGGACAGGGACAGGGACAGGGACAGGGACAGCGGGACAGGGAGAGTCAGGGACAGGGGGAGAGGGACAGGGGGACAGGGGAGAACCAGGGACAGAGGATGGGGAGAAAGAGACACACAAAAGGCGTGGAGAGAAAGGAAAGATGAGGGGGGAAAGGGAAGAAGGGAAGAGAGAAAGAAGGAGAGAAAGAGAGAGAGAAAGGAAAGAAATGAGAGAAAGGAAATGAAAGAAAGGAAGGAAAGAAGTAAAGAAGGAAGAAAGAGAGAAAGAAAGA